CATGCTGCTCACTAAGTGAACTGTTCAATGTTTTTAAGCATCTGAATGAAATTATGTGACTTTAATATTTTATAAGTTTAAGTTGAGTCTAAAGTAGGGTTGCCAAGTCAATATTTCTTACCGGCGGGGGAGCCTCGTGGGGTCCAGGAGCCGTCCATCGATGTGCGCGCACACACACCGCCAGCACGTCGCCGGAAGTGACGCATGATGTCGATCACGTTGAAGGCGTGGCCCCGATTGTCGAAGGGAAAACCATAGAGTTTTCCCTCCAACGATCGGGGCCACGCCCCAAACGTGATTGACGTGGTTGCGTCACCTCCGGTGACGCAGCCACGCTGTGCTTCGGGGGGCGGAGTTCCCCCCGGGGGCAATTCCGCGGTGGCGGGAATCTGGCCTCCGAAGCGGGGTTTACCTTCCCCCTGCCCCCACTTGGCAGCCCTAGTCTAAAGGCCAGGTTTACACTTCAGCTGTAGATAAGTGGAAAAACAAATAGAAAGATTGTAAATCATTGCAAATTAAAGATATTTAACACACGGACAAATTAAAGATATTATATAAATACGTCTTTTTTGGAAGTCTTTTCCTCTTTAACAGAAATGATACAATTCATGTTGGCACATTTTATTTGAATTCTTTTTTTGATTTTTTTTGTTTTCCTCTTCCTGTTCCCTTATCCCAAAATTCTCCATGTATGGAGCATGTCTAAAGATGTCACAACATAATGCAACAATGTAACAGTATGCACAGAATTGCAGTCTGTTGTAAATTCCCTGACCAGGGCTTATTTTCACTGTATTTGTTTCATTTGTTCATTTATTTAACATATTTATGTTCCCACCTTTCTCCCATGAACCTTAGGGCCCAAAATGGGTAATATCAATATAAAAAAGAATCTGATACAACAATAAAAATTAGAGACACTACTTCTACCTGGCCAGTATCTCAATTGAGTATAAGATTGTGGGGATCCTTTGATAAAGGTAAAAGGGCCCTCTGACCAGAAGATTAATTTCTCACTATTATTATTGATCATGATCAAGATGACAGTGGTGGCCTGCTCAGAAACAGTGCATGACAGAAGGAAATGGAAAGGAGAGAAAATGAATGAGAATATTTAAAGATGCAAAGTTTCAGGTGCTTCCACTTAAAATAGAACACATTTTGAATGCGTTAGGCCCCGGTCACACGGGAGATTTTGGCCCGGTAGAGGGACGGATTGGGGGCGCAGCAAACGGGCATGATCTCACTGCAACATCTGGGAAGCGGCATGCCCCTGTCCCCACACCTGGAAAACCCTCTGTAAAAAAGAACCTCCTACAGAGGAGGACTTACCTGGAGCACCGCAGCAAGCACGGCCGTGGGATCGCCGGCTTGCTCGTCCTCCGCAGCAATCCAGCCTCCCGGCCGAACTGCACACGCACACACATGCGCAGTTCGGCTGCCTCCCTCCCTCTTCAGTGGCTCCCCACCCCCGGCATCTGATCGTGCCGGGGAGGAAGTGTGCGGCGGCTCAGGGGATCAATGTGATCCTGCCGCCGCGTGTCTTTTTTGGTGCTGCTTTAAAAGGCCGCACTTTGCCCGTGTTTTTCCCCCCGTGTGGCAGGGGACTTAGTTTAATATCATTTGAGATGCTACAGGTAAAGAATACATTGTCAAGACAGCCTGACAGAGGGATTTTCATTTACTTAACAGTGCCCCACCTTTCTCCCCAAGGCGGATGCAGAGTGACTTACATTGTTCCCTCTTCTTCATTTTATCCTCACAACAACAACCCTGTGAGGTAGGTTAGGCTGAGTGTGTGCAATTGGCTCAAGCTCACGTAGTAAGCTTCCATGGCAGAGTGGAGATTTGAATTTGGACCTCCAAGATCCCATTCTGACACTCCGACTACTTCACCACACTGGCTGTCATAGGAATAGGATGGGACCAATGTTCCCTCTAAGCTGTGGAGTCTTGTGAGCAAAAACTCTACTTTGTGAGCTATGGGCATTAAAGTTGTGAGCAAGCAACTTGGCTGCTGCATAAATGAGTTTGCTCCGGAGCCCTCCTTCCTGAGCTAGGACAAAAATGTGTGAGCCGGAGGCTAAAAAACTGTGAGCTGGCTCTCACTAACTCAGCTTAGAGGGAACACTGGATGGGACACATGGACATCCCCCCCCTCTCACATGAAGAGTAGATAGTAGTATAGACATAATGCTCCCAGTTAGGATCTGACAAATAACTATGCGGGAGGAGCCATGGCTCAGTGGTAGAGCATCTAGTCTGCCTGCAGAAGGTCTCTGTTTCAGTCCCTGGCATCTCCAGTTAAAAGGATCAGATAGTAGGTGATGTGAAATACTTCTAACATGGGCCCTAGAGAGCTGCTGCCAGTCTGAGTAGGCAATGCTGACTTGGTCTGAGTCAGTGTAAGGCAGATTAATGTGTTTACTGAAGCCCTTTTGTTTGGTGGCTCCCAGTTATCAGTTTTTGTGCTGACAGAAATTTCCCATGGACGGGCTTTTAAGGAGACATTGTTCAAACAGCATATATGAAATTTCTCAGTTTTGGTCTTGATCGCTTCACTAACATTGCTGGAGTAAAGTTTTGAACTTGCAAGAGTTAATAGTCCTCTTCCCCCTTCCATGGAATAATGCTGACAATAATTAAGGCCCCCATGCTGTTTCCTTATCTTGTGGTATTTGCTTCCCTTATCAGTCATCTCTGGGTGCCTCTGGCCATAGCAATGCTCTTGTGTTCCACAGGAGCAATGCCATTGCTTATGATTGCTGGAATGGTTGGTCCCAACAAACAGAGGAGAGGAAACACAGAACACTGAGATTGTATTTCAGTGTTATAACAGTGGCAAAATGACTCTCTCTCTCTCTCCCTCCCCCCCTCCCCCCTGTTTATTTGCAATAGTAATCTTGTTCTCTTATGAGGCTTCTTTGAGAAAAAAATTAAAAGTTTATGCTGTTGTCTTTTTGGGAAGAAGATTGTCACATATATCCATGGCTGCACATTCTGGTTTGCTGAAAATAAGAAATAGTAAAAATGTTCTATTGATCTTGAAAAAGAAAAAGAAAAAAAAGAAGAAGAAAGAAAGAAATAATTAAATCAGGGGGGTGGGACAGGAAAGAAACAGAACTCTAGCAACTTCCCCAAAGTTTCTGTGGACCAGGCCAGGCCTTAAAGGGACAAGAAATGTCTTCCTTAACATTCTTATTCACAGCCTGTTCTTGATTTCTTTTATTTTTTAACGGTGTGTGTCTTCCTAGTTTGCCTTCCTAGAGGCAACATATCCACAGAGAGGCATGAACTGACCACACGGGTGGGAAGGGGAGGGCTGCGCCACAAAAGGAGGGCTGTGCAGCCTTCCAAACCGATGAGTCCTTTGCCAGTACATGAAGGATGCCAGAATGTATTCGTTTAAATACTCAGGAGCATATTCTGAGTTCATCCAAAATCTGGGGATACTCTTCCAGTGGCTATAAGGATTATTTTTTTTAAGTATCAAATACACATTTATTATTATGACTCATAAAGTGGATTCCCTGTGTGAGGACGAAGGTCCCAAAACAGGCCCAGCAGGAGGGTCAAAATGGACTGCTTGTGCAGTAGAAAAAGACCACTGGTTTCTCCCCAAAATTAAAAACAAAATCAGTGGAAGGCAAGAATTGTTCAGGCATATTCACTCCATCCTGTATCAGCACATTGGCAGCAGGCAGCAGCACGCAGGTTCCAGCACGTAGCTGGGGCTGGTAGTCACAGTGAGGCAAAGCAATCATTCTTCCCTGTAGCCTAGGGCCTAAAAGGGCAAGGCTTAGTGGAGGATACATATCCTCTCAGGATAATTTCCTTTCCATAGTATCTTTCCCAATCACAGTTTAAAGAGCCCCACATAGAGGACACACAAACCCCATTCCCTTACTGCAAGTAAATCACAAACAATGCTCCCTCTGAGCTGTAGAGTCTTGTGAGCAAAAATTCTACTTTGTAGGCTACCGGCATGAAAGTTGTGAGCGAGCGATCTGGCTACTGCATGAATTAGTTTACTCTGGAGCCATACTTCCTGAGCTCGGACATAAATGTGTGAGCCAGAGGCTAAAAAACTATGAGCTAGCTCACACTAACTCAGCTTAGAGGGAACACTGATCACAACTACACCTCTGTTCAAGCAGGACATGTTCCAGTTGAATTATGCAGTCCACTTACATTTTGTCTTTCGCGTCAACACATTCAAAGCTGTTTTCCCATATTTTAGATTATAAGACAAAAAAATCAATAAACAGCAGATATGGTCTCAGGCCATTGGGCGTCTCTTCAGGAGTTGTTGGTATGAATTCTCTGTCCCTGGGTATTTCTTCTAGCCTTCCCCTTAGATGGCATGGGTGTTTTGGTAGCCCCAGGGAGGGTGAGGCAGGGGGTTCTCTCAGACCTCTCTGTTTCACTAGAAAGAAGGAAATGTCAGTTCCTATAGAGCAAGTGAGATCCAAGTGCAGAAGCAGACTTCCATGCATATTTCAATTCATGGTTAATAAACTAGGGGTAAGTCGCATGATCATTCAAATAACGTGAGGGCACATTGTCATCTATCTGCACTGCATATTTTTCAGTGGAATACATTTAGATGATCATCTGATTTATAATGGCAGCCTCTTATTCAGCAACTGAGACATTTATGGAAGGTTGCTTCTGTGTGGCGCCCTTTAGTAGACTTTAGAAAAGTATGTGTGGGAATGGGTGAAAGGACAAAAGTTCCTCTCTCTTTTTTTTTTGCCCTGCCTCTCCTCTTCCTCCACCCTCAGTTTTTTCCAATGGGTACCACTAGTTTATCTGGTCCCTTTTGTTTGCAAACTTTCGAGAGTTGAATGTTGGATGGGAGCAGGTACTTGTTTGATCATTATATGCCTTATATTGTTGTTTTTTATTGGAGTCCTTTTTTGTTGTTCTGAACAAGTGGACTGAACAAACAAACAAAGGAAATCACTAATACGTGTTTCATGAAATCTCCCCCCCCCCAGGTTTTTGTCAAGCAGGCAAGGATTTGAGGTTAATATCCCTGTGTATGGAACAGATTGATATCCCACCAGGATTCCTTTTGGTAGGAGCCAAATCTCCAAATCTTCCTGAGCATATTCTTGTCTGTGCTGTTGACAAGAGGTTTTTGCCAGATGACCATGGGAAAAATGCACTTTTAGGTAAGTGGCTTGTATTATTCTTTATGCCATGATAATTTGTAATACCCAAGTATTGACTTTCCAAGGTCATATTCAGGTATGAATTTCTTATTATAGTATATTGAAATTCGTTTTGCAAACCCTTTTCTACAAAAATAGAGTTAGTGTCTAAGTTATCTCATATAGGGACTTGCAAAAATTTTAAATAGGTAGCTTCTTGCAGTCAGAATGCTCTGCCTCCTCATGTGCTGACCATTGGGCTTTTTGCTTGGAGGTGGAGAGACTCATATCTTGTTCACCAGAGGCTGTCAGTCTTGGTCCTGGACCTTGGATAAATAGAAGCACCTAAGAGAATCAAGTCTTAGTTGGTTCTCTCTGGCCCCAGTCACACGAGCGGGAAAATCCACACTGGAAGGGAGGCATTTTAGAGGTGGAGCTAAAAGAAGCATGGGAGCGCTATCTTACATTCCCCCGCAGCTCTGTCCTCAGGCTGTCGGCAGCCGATCACACCAGGGAGGCAACAGCGTAGTCCCAGCGAGGCAACACGGCAGTACTGCGTTACTGTGCACGTGCAGGTCGCAGACAGCTGCTGGATGCCATGGGCTACTGGCACGTCTCCAATCAGACGCCCGCCCATGCCGCGCATTTACTGGAAGCTATACTACCTTTTCCCCAGTGCCTTTTAAATCCGCTTCTTTGGGTCGACGGTACGGGTTGGAGATGGGTGCGCTACGCTTCCCAGATGTTGTGGTATGATCACGCCCATTTGATGCACCCTCACTCCATCCCTTTCATGGGGCAAATCCTCCGTGTGACCAGGATCTCTGTAGACTTAAATCAACAGGATTATCAGCCACAAGTCACTCTAGTAGAGTCAATTTGCAGCAGAAGAGTGGGAATCTGACCCAGGTCAATAGGAGAGACAGGTAGCTGGTTTGTTGGGTGCAGCAAAACAAAGGAAGGGCTGTGGTACAACTGAAGAAGGATGGCCACTGGAATGCAAGAAGGAATTCTCTTGTCAGGTTATGGAGACTGAAGAGATAAGATCTAGTAAGTTATGTAAAAAAGTTGGTATGCTGTTGGAGCCTGTAAATCACTTTTCTTCTAGACTCAGAGCATCCAGTTTTTAATTCCTTAAATGAAGCTATTATGATGGTACAAAGAGTATGGAATATGCATGTCTCTCATGTGTTAGAGAAGATTTTTCTCAATAATCACTGATATTCTTGAAGACTCTGCAGTTTACCATCAAATCACATGCTTTGGTTGCACAAAGTTGCAGTCTCCATTTAAAAGATATTGGATAGCAGGTGTTGGAAAAGGCATTTCTCTGCCTGAGACTCTTCACCAGTCAGAGCAGACAATACTGAAGTAGCTGGTGCTTTGAGTTCAGTATGGCAGTTTCATTTGTATGTATATATGATATGTTGTAGGTTCTCTTTGTACGATAGTGTAGTGGCTAGGGAGCAACATTTCAAATGTTGCTCGAATTTCAATTTTCTGTCTACTTCGGAGGTTACATAATGATTGGATAGCAAGCACGCCTGTGCTTAGTCCTACCCCTATAGTGCTGATCTTGTGAATATTACCATAAACCCAGCCTTCTCTGCTACTCTGGTAAAATATAAAAGGATCCTGGACATAGTGACTTCATGCAATTTCTTAGATATTCTATTTGTTCCTAGTTGTTCATCTAGAACATAAGAATTATAATCTAGTATAATCTAGTGTGTTTTTGTGAGCTGTGCGTGGCACAATAACAATTTAACTACTGGGGGCAATTCCAGACTTCATGTAGCAAACGTTACAGCAGTGTATCCCCCAAAGAAAATTAAATGTGGCCAGTTCATGTAAACAACCATGCAGGGTTGCTGAAAGCTAGCACAGGCCCCCATACCCTTTAAGTCCCCTCACACCAGAGTTGGCCCCCCTTGTGTTCCAGAGAACACATACACAATGCTTAATTAGAATAGTCATGCAGTTTATACCCCCCAGCTACCCTTGGTGCAGTTCCTGGAGCCCCAAGGCAACCAGAGCCACTGGAATTTTGTACCTATTGGCAGCTCTGCATCTGTGTACTTGTGCCTGAGCACCTTGACTACACCAGGGTTCATGACCCCTGCTGAGCTGACTCTGGAATCAGAAGCTTCTGAGGAGGCGCCTGAGGCTTGGCCTTGAGGAGAGCAGAAAACTCTGGGAGGCCCCTGCAGGGCAGATGCATCTGGCCCATCTTCTCCAGAACTTGTCCCTGATGAACCTGCAGTGATTTCTTCCAGAACTTTGAATCATAGAATGTTAGAGTTGGAAGGGACCTTGCACGTCATCCAGTCTAATCCCCTGCACTCTGCAGGAGCATAGCTGAAAGATAGCCCTACAACATACCCGAAAGATGGTCGTCCAAGCCTTCGCCTGAAAATGTCTAGTGAAGGAGCAACCATCACCTCCCGAGGCAGTCTGTTCCACTGCTCAACCACTCTTACAGTTAGGAAGTTTTTCCTGATATTAGGCGATATCGACTCCCTTGTATTTTCCACCCATTAGATCTAGTCTTGTAATCCAGAGCAAGAGAGAATAGATCTGCTCCATCTTCTACATGACAGCCCTTCAAATATTTGAAGACTGCAATCATGTCCCCTCTAAGCCTTCTCTTTCCCAGGCTAAACATACCCAACTCTTTCAGCCTTTCCTCATAAGTCTTGGATTCCAAGCCTCCCACCATCCTGGTCGCTCTCTTCTGGACACGCTCGAGCTTGTCAACATCCTTCCTAAAATGTGGTGCCCAAAACTGGACACAGTACTCCAGGTGAGGCCTGACCATAGCCGAATAGAGCGGTACTACCACCTCCCGTGATCTGGACACAGTGCTTCTGTTAATGCATCCTAAGATTGCATTAGCTTTCTTCGCAGTTACATCGCACTGCAGGCTCATGTTTAGCTTGTGATCAACCAGAACACCTAGATCCTTTTCACATGTGCTGCTGCAAAGCCAAGTCCCTCCCATTCTATATCTGTGCCTTTGATTTTTTGCCCTTGGAGAGCCAGCAGTGGGAGCTCTGCCAGAATTCCCCTCTGTTTCTTGGGTCCTGGGGCAATTTAGCACCAATCCAGGACTCAATCCACATGCCCACCAGAATCTGCCTTTATCTGGCAGGAGCAGTGGAGGCAGAGGGCTCATGCCAATATAGCCCAGCAAAGATGCAGTGTCAGGCTGGCAGCCCATGCTCCATCTCTTGGACCAGATCATGGTGGATGTAATCCTTTGCAGGATCCCGGTTCCAGTTAAGCTTGGCAAGATGAGTCCCAGGTGCTGCTTCCAGAGCAGGTGGACCTCTGCTGTTGTCTCAGCCTATGTAAGCTTTGGTTGAGAAGGGATGTTTGATGGATCAACTGGTCCACTAGATGCAAGTGTGTACTCCTGGTCCAGCTCCTTGTCTCCAGCTGCAGCTTTCTTCCTCTAGCTCCTTGCCTCCAGTCCCAGCTCCTATCAACACCCAAGCCTCCCTATCTAGGCCTGAGAGCAGCAGCAACACCTGAGGAGGCCTGACTGGCCCTGCCTGCGGAATACAAGACAGCATGTATGTGTGGATGCTGAATGAGGTGGACACATTATCTATATTATGATTTTTTTCTCAGCAAGCTATAAGCAGCAATTGTGATTCTCATGTAAAATGAGGACCTGTCCTGAGTTCCTTCTCTACTAGTATGTCCATTTTCTCCAATTGTCAGATGGCACTCCTTTTTAAAAGACAGAAGATTACTAAGGAAACTACATGAATACTTGTTTGAATAGTTGAGAAACATTCCACAGCCCCAGAATAGGAAAGAAAGCGGTTACATGAAGCTTGCTTTCTATATGTGTTTCAGTTATGTTCATGTAAAAGGGCAAGTTCTACAAATGTGGCTAGTCTCATTTTCAGAATTGCATTCCTGTCACTGCAAATCTCCATGCATCAGGTTGTTTGAGGGTGGTTTGGTATTCCCACAGTGTAGCATTTCCATCTTGCATGTGCCTTTTGTTTGCTTTGTGCTAGAGTTCTAGTTGTTTTTAGGTGACAGACTTCATGTCCCAAGTTTTGAAGGAGAGGGGCCTGTTTCCAGATTTGGACTGCATGTGCACCAAACAGATCAGCAATAGTGCTTTGCCTCTCAGTGATATTAAAGTATCTTTGTATAAAATATATTCAAATCTAGGTAGGTTGTAATGGGATTCTACAATCCATGATACCATTGTTTTCTGGCCTGTGCATTATTAAAAATTCAGAAACTTATACTTCATTTTCTAGCCCTATTGGTTTGAAATTAACTGTGGTGGCAAAAATTCCCATGCAACAGGAATCACATTTTTTTTAAGTGTTGCAAATTATTCACTGGCTATGATTCATCGCATTTCAAGACAACCTTTTCATGCCTGAGTGTGTACAAATATAAGATGTAGAATAATTTTATCTTGACAATTGCACATAGTTGACCTCTGCCTGTTATCTAAGTAAACTGGGACGCTACAACTCATAAGGCATTTTCAGTGTAGCTGTTGATGGTGAAGAAGTTGCCTAATCATGTTTTATAGTCACTAAAGGAATATGTTGAGAAGATGCCTTTTGTTACTCCTCACTCACTGGGTGTCATTTGCCTTCTGCAAAACTCTCTTTGAAATCAGCAGGCAAGGATAATATATAGCCCTGACTATAACTAGTGAAGCCTAATCAACAATGTAATTTAGGTCACCTTGCAAAACTAGTTTGACCTGCTGACCTTTCTTCTAAAGTCTTTTATGTTTAGAAGAGATTACAGTACTCTTTAGCATGATGAGCTTTCAACTTCTGTTTCAATGGGACTAAGTGCTTTGCTTCAAATATTTACTTATTTATGTCCTAGCAGAATGTCCCCACAGACCCCCTTCAAGGGGGCAAAAGTCTGCCGTGACAACATAGATTACTTCTTACATCAAGGAGTTCTATAGGCCAGACAGGATATTTATTCCCTCCTCCCTCCCATTCTGTATGACTAGTTTAAATCCCTTTTTCCACATAAAAGCAAACAAGAGAAAACTGAAAATGTGATACAGACTAAGATGGTATTATCAGTACACGGAAGAATGTTTGGTTCCAGGAATAAAACCCTGGCAAAGGAAGATGGGTTTGTGAAAGGATGTTGAGGATGTTAATAGAACTGTTCAGCACTAGTTCTTTTGCAGGGTTTGATGGTTTGCTTCCCTCTTGAGATGCTGATGTAAAAGATATACGGATCAATAGAACCATGACCAGTAATTCTGAGGAATGGTGATAGATGTCCATGGCTTGTTCCATTCTTCCTGCTAACTGTATGCAATTGAGATGCATATTAATAAATATATAGTACAGTAGGCACTAAGTGGCTAACTGGTGCATCCAGTTAAAAACCAACAACACAAAATTAGCCAGGAACAATAAAATAGCCTGTTTTGCAGCATGCTTTGACAAATGGAATGTATTTTTTCCCCCTCACAGGTTTTTCTGGAAACTGTATAGGCTGTGGAGAAAAAGGATTTCGATATTTCACTGAATTTTCCAACCACATTAACCTGAAGCTTACCACTCAGCCAAAGAAGCAGAAGCACTTAAAGTACTACCTAATAAGAAGCGCCCAAGGTGTGCTGTCAAAGGGACCTCTAATATGCTGGAAAGGTAACAAATGCCTTGTTTGATAGACCTATGCCTGAATGTTAGGGAGCATTAAATAGAGTTTCTTAAGCTTAAAATTAAGATAGGCTTCAAAACAATTTATCTTAATTTTGATTATTATTTTTTTTAAAATTGGGGATTCTTTGTTATGGTATTTTGAGTTCTTCATCTGTGTACAAGAGTCTTTGGTTTGAGTGTCTTTGGTCATGAGTTCAAGGCGTGTATCAGCCACCAGAAAAGCATTCCTTACACTCAACAGAGAGTTGTGACTAACCCCAGCTCTGTGACAGGTATGACTGCATGGTGTACAAATTTGCAAACAGGTATTTGTCCCATGTGTATTTTTAGGTATATACATAAATCACATTCAAAGAGACCTTGAAGGCTTTTGCTGTTTGAGATCCCTGCATGAGCTGCTTCCTTCTTCATACATTTCACTGAACAGTAGAGACGTTGAGTGAATTAGTAAATAAGTCATAATAGTAAATGAGTAAATTTATTAGATATTAAACTGAACTGTAAGTCAGTGGGGCTTAGAGGAACAAACTCAAGTAAGTCACAACATGCAACTGCAGGCAAGCAGGTTTACTGGAGTTTGTTTTCTGCCCACAAGTCTAGATTCTAAAACAGGGTTTAATCCAGTCTTCCGCTATCATCTTAGAGAACTTGGGCCATTTAAAATTGCTATGAGGGGTGATCATGATCAGGACTGCAGCACTGCAGGATGAGGTACTCTTATCCCACACCAGTACTTTTTCAAATGCTGAAAAGGCTCTGGTCCAGCTATGCTCTAGGCCCAGTCAGGATCAGGCCCTCACAGCATTTTGAAATGGCCCAAATTCAGCTTTGAATGTCAGCGGTGTCCACAGGTCAGACCCACGGATGCCATAATAGTTCAGCCCATAGGAACTCTGATTCCTACGCACAAACTAATTATGGTAAATCCACCTGCCTGCCTTTATATGTCAAGGGTAATGGGAGTTAATTTGAAACCCAGATTTCTTCATTGCTTGATATCTCCACTGCTGAAGTTTAAAATAGCGTATACTGTAGTACCAAATATATAATGGGATGGATCCTATCCCTATTATACCACTCCACTTAGCAAAGTTTGGCCCTGTTCATACAAGCCGTTTGGGCCGGGAGAAGGGCGGATCGGGGCCGGAGCAAACGGGCGCGATCCCACAGCAACATCTGGGGAACGTCGTGCTACCGTCTCCGATCCGTCCCATCCCGCCCATGAAGCGCACCAAAAAAGAACCACCTACCTGGGTGGTTCTTTCGAATGGGCCGCGGCAAGTGCGGCCGTGGGATCGCTGGCGCGTCCTTGCGCCGGCGCATCACTGGCTCCTGGCCGAACTGCGCATGTGTGAGCATGTGCAGTTCGCCAGCCTCCCCTTCCCACTGTCGCTTTCTCCCCGGCATCTGATCGTGCCGGGGAGCGACAGCGCCACGGCTCGGGGTATCCGTGAGATCCCGCCGCGCCGTCTCAACTTTGATGCGGCTCAGATTAGCCGCAGTTTGACCATCCTTTTCCCTGCCGTGTGGCAGGGGCCTTTATTTATTAAAATATTTATACTCCACATTTGGCTCAGGTTTGAAGCCTTCTTCCAACTTGGGTGGCTCATTTGTTGGCTGAAGAGCCACTTGTTGGAAGGAAGGCTTCTTAGGTTGGAGGAAGGTAGTGTACTTGGAGGATGGCTGGATCCATCCTTGTATATACAGTTATTTGTATTACACTAAATTTGATTGATTGATAGATATAGCTATAAAAGGGACTTTGTTAATGACTGTGAATATAAAATCCGTTGGTATGCAGATAATGTTGCCTTCATATCTAATCCTGAAAACTTTTTTCATACTAATTCAGATAGAGATTAATAAATACAGTAAGGTTTCAGGGTGCTAAATAAATACAGGTATATCTGATATCAATTATACTAAATTAAGAAAAGAATGGAAATGTTCAAAATATCTAATTTAAATTGAATATCTAAACCCTGGAAATGTCTAGGTATACATATTACACCAAATTTTAAGGTTTTGATTAAAATCAACCGCTTTCCTCTCATGAAAAAGAAAATCAGAGACCTCAGAGGATCGTACAAACTATATTTTTCATAGTTTGGCAGAGCTGTTGTTAAATGTTTGAGTCTTCCTTAAATGAATTTTCTTTTGCAAACCACCCCATTTCTTGTACTTGATTAAATTCTTGAACAATGGGAATCTTTCTTTAATACTATATTTGCCATCAGGATAATCCTAATTTGTAATAAAAATATTTTTACAAATAGAACTAAGGGAAAAGGAGGTTTGGGGGCTCCTAGTTGATACTTTGTAATGAATCATTCCACAGTAGAAATAAATCCAATGTGCACTGGTACAATATAGAAAAGTTCAAACTGCAAAGTATTCTGTTCGGTGAATTATCTAAATAGCTCAGTAATTACACTGGTAATCCATTTACATTGCTGTATTCAAAATTTGGCATAAATGGGCCAAAGTTGCCCTTTACAGATTATGAGATGCATTCTCATTTTAAACTTCACAATATTAATTTAAACAGGAGAATGTAGTTCAATAGAAGGGTCTTTACCTTTAATAATATATTTTAACAAGAAGTCTTTAAACCAGTTTAGTCAGTCAGAACATATACTGGTATAAATATCTACATGTAATACCTGTTGGCAAAGGTGTCATAAAATTGATGCCATGGTTCATGTATGGTGGATTTGTCCCTCAGTTCAAACATTTTTGACCCAAACAGATATAGGCATTTTTTCTGCAACTTGATTTCCTTTCTTACTTTCTATTGAGTAAAACTCTCATAGTTCTAGAATACCAAATCAATTTAAGATTTTACTGTTCTAAGAAAGATGATATTATAAACAGTGAAATTACAAATATATGTAAGAATTAGATTTATCCCTCTGTTACAGTCAAGGAATCTATCAGTATTATGATTCTCATTTGGTAACCTATCTTCTTTTCTTTCTTTTTCTTATTCCCCTTGTTTATTTGTATCAAATTATGTTGTGGTTTATTATACATTACCTTTTTTGTCAATGTTCTGACCCTTGTTGACTGCATACTTTATGTGTACATTAAAAAAATCCTGTAAATAAGAGTTGTTATTTGATAAGAACTCACATGAAACTGCCATAACAGAACATTGGTCTTGTCTGCTCAGACTGGCAGCAGCTCTCCAGGGTCTTAGGTAGCAACTTTTCATATAATATACTACCTGATCCTTTTAAAACTAGAGATGGAGGTCTAAAGCTGGGACTATCTACATGCCAAGCAGATTTTCTCCCACTGAGCCATAGCTAGAGATGTAAAATCTGTAGAAATTTTGAATCCACGGGAAAAGAATGAAGTTTTTCCATTCCCCTACCCCCCTAAAAAGAACAGAAGATGGAAAAATGGAAACAAATGCAATAATTACTTAATTATTAAACATGTTATTGATTGAACAACATAAAATGCATCACTTATAATTTAGGCAGCGTATAGAATTGTACAATTTGGCATAGTCATGGAATTTGAAAGCATACGTATCTTCATTTTTTGGAAAAAACTGAAAGTATACCCAGTACTTGAGAAGGAGTTGTAAACTGCTTTTTTTTGCTGAACCCTATGCCATCATAGCACATGTATCTTTAATTTTTGTCAATTTGATAATAAACAAAATAAATAATATTATTTGAACAGAAACTTTCTCATAGAGTCACAATAGGTAAGACTCCCAGTGTGTCTGGATATTAAATTAAACTTTTTAACATTGAAAACCCTGGACTCTTTAATAATGTATTATCAGTAAACACATAGCATATGAATTATTTAAATATAGTTATTTACATGTAAACAAAAAATCTTGAAAATACTGTATATGTCTACAGTAAGAGTATTTTTTCAATGCTCCCAAAATTTTCCCCAATTTTTCATTAGAAAATTGAGAAAATCCTCAGACTTTTTCATGCTTTCCATTTGGAATAAGTGAAATGTTTTATATATGAAGTTTTTTCCCCAGTGCTCCCCCAAATTTTCCAGCCTTTTCATTGGAAACTTTTTCATGCTAGATATCTTTAGTATGAAAATCCTTGTTTTAAAATCCATTTTATTCATTCTGAAAGAGAAAACATTTCATAGGAGTCTCTTTTAAGTGGTCCTCCAAATTTCCCAAGTTTTCTATTGGAAAAACCGAGAACAAGGCCGTTCCTTTTCCCCCTGAGCCCTCTCATCTCTAGCCGAAGCCCTTCCACATGACATCTGAATGCAGCCATCGAGGAAGATCAAGCTGCAGAGAATCTGAGATTATATTTGTATCCCATGAGCTAAGCGTGAGGCAGGGAAGCAATTGCTGATGAGCATGTTTGAATTATGGTACTAAAATTTACTAAGAGATTACTTTCAACCTGTCCATCTTGTACATCTTCCATATATATGATATGACATTAGAGGGAACCAGCAATTTGGGATGCATTGTGGCTGTCTGAAAGTACTCCCCTCATTTTACGGCTGCTTATAAAAGGCTTTCATTGCATCAGCTCTTGAACAGGCACTATGAAATGGCATAACATTCTTTAACAGTATGTGCAGTTATGGGATTTGGCTCATAACACACACTTTTTTGAGTGGCTCATGTGATATAGCTGAAGTATTGCAAGGATGCAAAATCTAATCCCATTCATATGGATGGGATTGTGTTTAGTGTTGCCGCCCACTACCCTCCTGTATGTGATTTGTGCAAAAGCTTGTACATTATAGCAGCATCTATGCACTGCCTGGTGTTGTTTCAGTGGTGTAGTATCCAGGTTAGGGTTGCCAGGTTTGGGTGGGGAATTACCTGGAGATTTTGGGGGTAGAGCCTGAGGAAGATAGGGTTTTGGGAGGGGGGGAACTTCAGCATGGTACAATGCTATAGGGTCCACCTTCCAAAGCAGCCATTTTCTCCAGGGGAGCTGATTTCTGTTGCCTGGAGAAGGACTGTAGTAGTGGGAGATCTCCATCTGGAGGTTGGCAACCCTAAGTATCCTGGCTATTTTGGTGCAGGGATCTTCGCTTTTAATCTTACTGACTTTTTGCTTTTGTGCAAAGGATTATAGGATAGTACTGCTAATGGTATTAAATTGTTTTTCTGTGAAGCCCTTCCTTGATGTCCTGTCAAAATGCAGTATCATATTTGCGACACTAAATATAAAGGAAACTATAATTTTTCAATTACAAATTTCCAAGTATATGATTTTTGACTGAACTTGCTATATAATTGTTTCCCCCAAATATGCTGCACTGTCCTTTTTATTGTTTGTGTGTTTAACAACTGTTGTTCTGAATTGTCTCTCTGTAACTCTGGCTGCCTTAATATGTACTGTAGCTACTTCACTTGCAGAATGTAGAAGCAGGCAATCATCTGCTGTTAGCCATTCTGCTAAACCTAATCCTTCAGCATCTCCATCCACGACCCCTGAGAGTGGAGCAGCCAATGGATACAAGACAGGGTTCACTCAGACAGGTAGGAGCTGAAAGTGCATTGTGTCCTAGAGCTGAGGAAAGTAGTGACTATGCCACAGCTTAAGCCTCATGGCGAGGTATATGATGGGATGAGGTGAGGTGGTGGTCTTGGGTGGCTGATGTTGGGGGACGGCAGCCTGTGAAAATACCTTGCCATCACCCCTGTTGTCATAATGGCTATCACTTTTTCTTTGCCACCCTCCACTCAGCTGCTAGAACAGCTAAGATATCTTTAAAGACTGTATGGCAAGCTGTAAAAACCCCACTGGGGATGTATTTCAAGATGGAGGAAAGGAATATTAGTTGGTCCAGCTGCTGCATAGGGGTGGGAACAGTAGGCAGATAGTGAGGGGCAGCAAGAAGCAGATGGTGGTAGTGGGGGTGGCAGGTGGGGACAGTGGCCTCTGTTGGCAGCTCTTATTGAGCCCTTGTTTATGTGCCTTAGAGTTGTTGACAATTAAAGGGTCGACCTACAAAGCATGGCAGTTGCCCAATATATGTTCATTCTTGTGTTTCTTAGGACAAAACCTGCATGTGCCCCACTAAAATGAATCAAAGTTGCTTAGCAACAGTGTTCGGAGAAGTGTAGCTTATGCGTTTTGTGCAGTTTCCTTACAGGCCAAAGGATTGGGGAAGTCCTTCAGTCATATGGTTAAAAGAAACTGAAATTTGCATATATAGCCAACAGAAAATTTCTCTTGAAAACCATAGGTTTATTTTGGGTATTCAATTATTTGATAACTGTATAGGTTTGTTTACATCTGTGTTGCTGTATAAAGGCAAGCAAGATGCATAGAGTTGATGTACATATGTTTTTAAATATGGCTAAGAAATTGTGAGTTAATGGGGTTGTATGTAAGCAAAATTCTTGTAAGTAAAATTTCCTTCCCCATCTTTACTATGCCTAAATTGGTAGCAGCTTTGTTATCCACACTGGATTGGATTGGAAACAACAAACTCTAATGGATTGGGTAAACTGAAATATGTGTTCTTGCAATATTTGTGATACCACTATGTGTATGTGATACACTGTAGTACCTATCACTGAATCATCTGTATAGGAACATAGCTCCTTTCAAGCTGAATAAAATTCATCAGTGGCCGGAATCTTGATAAAGTATTATTTACTTGCTTACTTATCCACCAATGTAAGCTGGTCAAATAAAAGTTATCACTATTTAATTCTATAGCTCCTTCTGTGGACCCATCTTGCCAAATATGAACAGATGACCATACCAAGAACTTAACTGGTTATATTTTAAAAGGCTTACATTGGAATTATGCCTGCTCTGTTGCTGATCATCAGCAGGAGATCAATATCAAATAAACCTGTACTAATATTTCATTTACCCTTCTAAACTGGATTACAAATGTTTCAGCACAATTGCATTTTTGTTTTTATGAAATCATGGTCTTGAGATTTTTTTGGTATGGAAATATATAGTTTATCTGAAATAACAAAGGATCTATATTTTTATGTCTTGGGTGGTGCCAACTAAATTAATAAATCTACCTTCTGTGCTCTGCTTTTTTCTTTTCACTGTGTGCATTGTCGCATCACAACTGCCAGTCCCCTTTTTAACTCCTGCTATCCTATTCCAATGAAAATATTATCAAATTGGCTGCTTTCAGACATCATGAGCGAACTCCAGTTTGTTTGTGACTAGAATGGGCCTAGTTCATTTTCAGGCTCACATGTTCCCTTCCTTCACCTCTTTTCTTCATACCAAAGTCAAGACGAAAGATTTTCTGGTTTGAAATGAACCAGAGTTTGCCGTGACATTCAAATGGAGGTATTTCCCAACCCAGAGTTGGCAACCCTTCCTAAACACCTGTCTCCTTGCAAATACCTTCTAAAATCTTTACATATGTATCTTAAATCTGTAGGTGATTCATTTTGTGGATTTTAGTACGCACAGAGCAAGACTGTTGCCTGGCCATAGCTTTTTCGACATTGGCTTTGATTCCAGTGACTGTATAATTCTTTAATCTCTCTACTTTCTCTTCCTCGTGTTCTCTGTAGATATTAGTGCATGAAAAACAGATGCCATCAAACTACTATAGTTGCTAAAACCATAGGGTAGAACTTTGCCATTCTCTGCTTAGCGTGGGAAGGTAACACGATGCAGTCCAGTTTACCAAGACTCAGGCCCGTAGCCAGGATTTCCTTTTTTTGGGGGGGCATTTAAATTTCTTAGGAGGCACCAAGTGGATTAAATTAGTTAAAGCTTCCCCAGCTTGGACCCCTCCCCCCTGCCGACTCACTCATTTACTAATTTCAAAGGGAAGCTTCCCAACGCGCCCCTAGCTGGATGGGGTTAGGTCTTCCTACGGCTCTCTTGGCCGGTGCTCCACCAGCAGGCAGGCAGGGCGGACACCTTCCCCAGAGACGGAGGGTGGCTGAAATCCGGCAGGCATGCTGGAAAAGCAGGCGGTGTCTCCTCTCCTGCGGCGGCTGCTCTTTCTTTTTTCTCCGGGTCAGTCGGCTGCAAGCCCAGCCTCCCATACCAGCATGCAGTGCACCAACTGCCCACTGCTCTCCCGTTTACAGGGGCCGGGTAGGAAAGGCAGGCAGGCGGCAAGGCAAGGCGGTGGAGGAACACGCCAGTGTGCTCGCCCACTCAGCCAGCCGCCAGCCAGCCAAGGCGAGTGCAGTTGCCACCAGCTCAGGACCCTCCCTCCCCAACCACCAGCCCGGCATGGAGCCAGTAGGGCTGCTGACAGGCAGAGAAGTCGCTTTGAACAAACCTCACTTGGGGAAGGGGCGGTGGCAGCCGGGGGGGAGTACTCCGGAAGGCCCAGAGTGTTGAGGGCCCTGGGATGCAGGGAAACTCGGGGGGGCTTGGAAAGAAGTTGGGGGGCTGGGCCCCAAAATGCCACAGTGTAACTATGGACCCGCCAAGACTCCTTACTGCCCTTGTGTATTGACTCACTTATATACCAGTTGTTCTGAGGGAGGGGAAAAGGAGAAAGAGAGACTGCTTTCCAGAAGAGTAAATGTAACATACTTCCTTGTAGCTTGGATGTTTTATATCTCTCAGTGTTTTGGCAAAGGTTCTCGTGTGCAGTTGCCAACGATTATTCCTGCTGACAAATACTTCCTTTTTCCATAGCCCTCTGCTTGTTCCCTCATGTGTTGTGTTTTGTTTTAAATCTCCAGTGTCTATCAGGTTTGCAGGTCTTTTAATAATATCTTTTACCTTTGCTTTTAGTCCCCCCCCCTTGCTGGCTAGTTTCACTGGTGTAGGTTGAAATGATCATGCCCCTGTTTGCTTTTCTCAGATTAATGTATCCAGTGAAATCCAGTTTGCTTTGTTTGCAAGGAAAAGTTCATTGTTAGGTTACAAAAATTTGAAAATATTAGGATATCAACAGCCTAAGGGGAAGATTAATCTAATGTGAAATATAATTTTTACAGACAAAAAAGTCATTCATATTGGCCTCAGAAAATAAGAGTCTACCAGGGCACGGCAATAGTTTGCATTAACATTGGATTCTCTTCCAAAACAGTCCTAATTGTCTTATAAATTATGTGTGTAAAGTAAGCCATTTATCATACATTTCATTATCTTGCATAACTCATTCTTCTTCTACTTACAAGGAAGTGCACTGAAAACCATTCTTGGGAAAACCGTGTTGCCAAGCCTTCTGCCTCTGACTTTCATGGTCTGCTTCCTTCCACACACTTTCCAGTCTTGCCTTCTCGGTCTTAATTGCTAAGATTCCTAAGATGCTGATTTCTGTGCTGTCACCACTGGAAAATCTGAGTGCTCTGCTAAAGTCTACCTGCAATCTGTAAGGGTGATTTTCTAGGCCATAATTGTTGACTAAGCATTCTTGAAGATCCCATCACACTGGAGTGCATCAGGGCCACAGAGAAAGAGGCCTGGGGGACCAGGACAGGCACAAGTTAAGAGAGTGTTACTAATGTGGGCATAAAAGGAGGAAACCACACAGCAAGATGAATTACTTCAGGGGCTTGCGATCCAGAGAAGGCAGTGGGGAGCCACTTGGAAGATTTCCCAGTCCAGCATAACAGTCTTGGTGATTCTGAGCCTGGTGACTTCAGGTAGCTTCAATGCACTGAGATAGCAGGGCAGTAAGGACAGTAAGGACAAACAAGACAAGGACAATGGAATACCTTTTCTTGGGGAACCATGATAGCATTGACAAGAAGGAAAGACACCTATTCTGGTGAAGCATTATAGATTAGTGGAACACTTTCTTCATTATAGTGAGAACTTGGATGAGCTAAGCCCTAGCAAATACTAATTAAAATCTTGTGTATTTTCCTGATTCAGGTTGGCTTTCTCTCCCATTGAACTGCCTCACATTCATGTTCCAGCTCAGATTTCTGAGCTTGCATGGCATGAATGGAGAATTCAGACAGTCTTCTCTTCCCTGACTATGATATAAGTTTTGCCATGTATGGCTGGAGATATTTTTAAAAGAGAGTTGAAAAAAGTTTGATATGTACATGCTCTGTATGTTGTCTCTATTCCAGCAGGGTTTGCAGACTTCTGAAAAAAACTACTAGAATTTGCAAAACATGTTTACTAGAATCAGTAACTGAAAAAGTTTACATATAATGGATAATGATGCCTCTCTCATACCACATGACACTCTGAAAACAATAGCACCTTGTCTCTAATTTTGGGCAGTTTACCCATTACTTAATCTCTCTCTCTGTCTCTCTCTCTGTATTGAGGATGTTAATATTTAGCCACCTTTTTGTCCAAATGGATAGTGTATGCTATGGTCAAGTATGACAACAGAGCTGTGTATTGCATTGTTGTTCTGATCTTAGCTTTCACATTATCTTTATGCCATTGGAACATTCATTTGCTGCTCTCTGCTATATTTTACCTTTGTGCAAAATCAGCAGTATACCTATTTACCTGAAAATATGAAGCCACCTGCCCACAAGTAGTCCTGTTCAAGTAAACCGAAGTACTTGTCCATAAGTTCTAAAATTTAAGACACAATTAAAATAAGTGTTAAATAATGTGAATAGAAAGCCTTCAATGTGGGAAATGCATTACTAATGATAAGTATAATTATAAGAACCTAGTGTAAATTCTTGGATTTAATACTTCTAAAGGAACTTATTTGGATGTTTTAGGAGAATTCAAAGATTAACATAGATTTTGTCAAGTAGTTACAACAATCTCTTTGACAGACTCCTCAATATTCAGTCCAGCACAATCTTCCTCTGCTGTTAATTTAAGTGGAACACGAGATTTGTCAAGGGATAAGAACATAGTGAAACCAATTGCTTTGCCTGTGCAACCTGTAGGAAAGACATTTGCAACAGGTAACATGTTATCTTCCCAAGGGTTGTTATCTGACAGGGGAGAAAAAGTGGACCATTTCCATAGTTCCAAGTGTGGGAGGATCAGATCCTCCTGCTGGAGAGTGGTTCATAGCCCTTGGTACAGTCCATTAAGTCATGTTCCTGGCCAACATTCAGTAACATGAATGATTATTGCATCTCCTCCTGAACCTAGAATGTTTTCCATATCCAAATTGAAATCTCAATGTATTATTTATTTATATACTTATAACGACATTTCAGTTTCAAAAACATTCATGATGGTTTTGTCTAGGTGTTTAATATAGTCCTTAGGAAAACAATGCCTAAGATGTTAAGTCTTTGATTATGGATAGAATTTACACTATCCAAGCTAAAATATTACATAAAACTCCAGTTCATGAAGACTAAATGTTTTAAATAAGAAGGCAAAAAAATGGGGGAGAAATTCCTTTTTAAAGGCAGTCAACAGATTAAATAACATTGAGTGACACTTGTACCTTCTAAATAAACTGATCAGCTGTGTGAAATACATATGTATATTAGCCAGATCTCAGTGTAAGTTCCCTTTTCTAGATGTGGAAGGAACCATAAAGTAACTTAATACTGAATAAACAGAAGCAGCTAGTTATTGTTAGACAGAATGACCATCTTTTATATGTTCGTCTTTGCTACCTACATCTGACACAAAATGAACTGAGGGTCCCATGGTTTACAATTTACTCTCATTAGGTCATTAGGTTGTATCTAACCAACAGTGAGCAGAACTTTGGTCACAGAATGGTACTTTGCCGTCTGCCAGTGCAACCCATTCTACCTTTCAAACAACTGTCTGCTCCTCTCAAACCTCTGTCTCTGGGTTCAGAGGACCCCCAGGAGTAGGTCTGGCCAGGATGTGGGGGGTTTGCAGTGACAGGATAGAATCACCCCAAGCCACTCTCTCACTTCTCCTTTTCTGAGAGGGAAGTGCCTTTCTGCCAGAAGATTACAATTACAGATTACAGTTGGCTTCCCCATTCAATAAATACTTTTAAAATCTGAAGCCCTACTTTTTTATTCATTGTAGATGCATTTTTCATCTCCTGTCCATTTCTTTTAAAAAAAGGAGAAAGGAATTTCCTTACAATCTGATTTTTTAAAAATGTTTAGGTTAGCCTGAAAGTACCCTTTATTTTGTTTTGTGCTATCAAAATGGAATTCCTCTATAACACTGAGATACATGGAATTTAAATTTAATTTTGTAAACATTGTCTTGCCTTATTGTAGCCTTCTGGGATTCTGTAATACAGTTGTTCATTTCCAAACAGTCACCTAAAGGGAACTCTGTATTTGGTTTCCTTCAGGTCCACTCCCTCTGCGTCCTGGTGATGTTGGTAGTGGAAACAACAACGGAGGACGAACTAGTGTCATGAACTCTACAGTCTCTCGTCCAGTTCCTCACTCAATGTCTCCTGGCCCTAGCGGCATGTCTGGAGAACAAGGTGAAAAGAGCCTTTGCATGTGTCACCTCTAAAAATTTCAGTCCAGTTTTTCTGATTTAAAATTTTTAGAGCTTTGAATTAACCAGAATGCTGTATCAGAGTGATTTCATCTGTGGGGTGAATAATATCTGGGTAATCAAAATTCTAGTCTGAGTGCATGCTGATAACAGAAATGTTTCTTGTTCCCTGATTAATATGAGTCCATGATATATATGATTTTTCCTACTAGTCTGTCAAAAATATAAAGTCAGGTCAGTGGAAGATTTGTCTATGGTGTAATTCTGCTGGAATGTATTTTTCTACCTTTACAATATCTGGGGATTAAGATATACATGCTATAAAAGGTGCTATAAAAGGAGATATTTTTCTGTCAGGACTAAAGTATAGAACAGGGCTATATAATAAAAGGACGAGAGGCCTAGTTGTTTGTCTATGGGTTTTCATTGAGCCCTACAGCATATTCCATACAAATTAATATAACTATTTCAGAACTATTCTGTATATGTAATGGGTACTTGTGTGTTTTGATGGCTTTAATGCATCTTCCGGAGACCTCCAGTGATAGAATAAATCTATATCAATATGTACATGACTGGATCTGAGAGGTAGTTAATACCTCCTTGAGAGAAGGAGTGGTGGTAACCCCAGCACAGGCTGTGCTGCGTCCACTACTAAAGAAACCTGGACCCAGGATATTTGAATAATTATCGACCAGTTTCAAGTGTTCAGTTCTTGAGCAAGGGTCTTGAATGGGTGGTGGCTGCACAACTCCAGGTATCAAGATTGTTTGGAACTTTTCCATTCAGGCCTGGATATGGGACTCAGCCTTGGCCATCCTGTTAATAGGAGATATAAGGAATGCAACTCTGCTAATTCTTCTGGGCTTCTCACCAGGTTTTGATACCATTTATCATGGTATCCTTCTGGGTCACCTTTCAGAGTTGGGACTGGGAGATACCCTTTTACAGTGCTTCCAGTCTCGCCTGAAAGGTAAATTTCAGAAAGTGATGTTGAGGGACTGCTGCTTGGCCCCTTGGCTTCTGGTATGTGGTGTCCTGAAAGCCTCCATCTTGTCCCCCAATCTTTTCAATATGTACATGAAACTGCTGGGTGAAGTCATCCAGAGATTTGGGCTTGGCTGTTACCAATATGCTAATAGCACTCAGCTCTATCTTGCACTTCCAGAGGATCCCAGAGAGCCTGCAGAAATCTGAACCAGTGCCTGGATACAGTTTTTTTTGGGGGGATACAGGCTAATAAATACCCCGTTTCCCCGAAAATAAGACCTACCCCAAAAATAAGCCCTAGCAGGATTTCTATGCATTTCTGGTATAAGCCGTAGTGTGTCTTCTTGAGAAAAAATAAATATAAGACAGTGTCTTATTTTTGGGGAAACACGGTAGAAGCTTCATCCCAACAGGTCCATAGCTTGGGAGTGTACCTGAAGCTGGGCCCATTGCTAGATAAGCAGGTGGCAGCTGTGATCAAGAATTCCTCTTTGGAAGCTTTGACTGGTTAACCAGCTGTGACCTTTTCTGGGCTGAAAAGATCTGGCCACTTCAAGAGTAGAACTACTCTTGAAAAGTCTTGGAAATTTCAGTAGTATAGCATGCTGCAGCCAGCATGTTGACTGGAGTGAGTCAGAAGGGCCCTATCAGAAACAATGGCTCACAGTTTGTTTCTAGGCCCAAGTTAATCTGCTGCTGTTGACCTTTAAACTCCTGTCCTGTGTAAGACCAGCCTACCTGAAGGACTGCCTATTCCCACATGAACCTACCTGACTGCTGAGGTCAGCTCTGGAGGCCTTGATTCAGAATCCCTGTGATAGACAGGAGACTGTCCTGCTCCTGAAGGCGAAACAGCCACTGTGTTGAGCCTATGGGAGTGCTGCTCCAGCATCCAATCACCTTTCAGAAGGGGGGGTGAAAAGTTGGAGGGAAGCACAGCAGGGTTTAGTTCTGCCTCAAGAAGAGAGCAGCGAGAGCTCAGGTCTGGCTCAGAATAAGAGAACATAGAGTGAAGGTTAGCTCTGCCTGGTAGTGTGGTAGAGTGGTTAGGCTATATCTCTGGGAGAGAACAAAATACCCTGTTGTATTCTCAACACCGAGCAGACCTTCCTTGTACCAATTAGTCTGACTTGGGAAAGGGTAGGCTGGTGTGGGTAGAATCCTGGGTGGGTGAGAGAGGATCCAACCAAGGGGCTGATCAGTAAAAGCTTCTTTGTGCCTGAAAGCATTGAAGAAAATTCAAACCACTCTCTGAAGCCATAACTTGCTTAAATTTATGTGCCTCAGCTAGGTTTCTCCTTTGTCTATCTGGAAACCTGTGCTGCTGATCTGTTCTTTGAAACCAGTTTCTAAATAAACAAATCTTCTGTATTGTTTATATAAAAATCCTGCCTCAATGATCTACTTCTGCACCACAAAACTTACCTCATGATAGCGAACCCATTTGTATACACTTGCTACCTTAAAAACACCTGGTACCTGGGGGGAAGGTTTATATTTCAAAACAAACCTGATCCCCCAAAATCATACATGGCTGTGTGAGTCCCCTCAGTTGGGACTAGGGCTGCCAAGCCACGGTGGGGGATCCGTGCGTCTTCACAGGGTCCCTGCCGCGGGGGACAGCGATACGCGTTGCACCGCCGTCGCCAGGATGTGACGCTATGCGTCGCTCTGGCAACGGGACTCCAAACAGCCCTGTTGCCAGAGCGACGCGTAGCGTCACATCTTAGCGACGGCGGTGCAACACGTATCACTGTCCCCCGTGGCAGGGATCCTGTGAAGATGCACGGATCCCCCGCTGCGGCTTG